CAATATGCAATTCAGCCCATATTTGTAAAACCCAATTTTAATATGTTAAAACTACTTTAGCCCATTTCCGCATAAAAGCTATATGGGCCGAACTGCTATTTGCAATTCAACCCATATACCTGGATAATATTAATCAGTAATATTATGAAAATTTATGGGCTTTAATCATGGGTTTTATAGTTATTTAATTGATTGGATCAATTATGTTTTTCCTACATGTGATGTATGGATGTGTGATGTGCAACGTTCATGGGCCATAAGTAGACCTGTTCATGGGCTGGGCCAGGCTCGGGCCGGGCCGGGCTCGGGCCGGGCTTTTACTCTTCACTAACAGAAATATGTTAGGCCCGAGCCCGAGCCCGACCCTAATAAAAAGCCCGAAGCCCAAGCCCAAGCCCGAAGCCCGACCTAATAAAAAAATTTAGAAATTTTCCCTATTCAATAATCAATATAAATCAGAATTTATTTACAGTAAAAAATATATAAATTCAAAATTTATTTATATTAAAAAAGAATATAAAGAAGGGAAAGAGGATGTGGAGAAGAAGAATTCGGTTGGAAAAAGAAGGGAAGGAGGTGAAAAAAAGAGGGGTATTCAACTAGGGTATTTAGGTTTAGTTATATGTCGGGCTGGGCCGGGCTCGGGCCGGGCTATTTTGGCAAATCCCGAACCCAGCTCGAATTTATTGCGGGTCGGGCTTTTTGGCCCGAGGTTAAGCCTGCGGGCCTATATACCTATTCAAGCCCGTCCGGGGGCCAGGCCGGCCCGTCGGGCCACCCGGCCCATGAACAGGTCTAGCCCTAAGTACTTGGCCCATGTTGATTCGATAGTGGCTCTTGCGCACACCATGGCTGAATGCACATCATTGCCATGGTGTCCTAAAGATTAGTGGATGATCTCCCTTTGTGGCGGGCCCCACACCAGCTTCCTCCCCAAGAGGAATCGTGCGGAACACTAGCCGTTTAGGGCCCATCTAAATCTGGCTTTATGAAAGTCAGTTGGAGCCACTTTGGTTTGACCTAAATTAAACTATGGCGTAATATTTCGTTCCCTCCACTGAAATATGAGTGCATGTGATAGGGAGATTCATATGATGAACTCTCTAAAGACCTTCCATCATTAACATAAAGATGGGTCCTTCAGCAATGAGGAAACACACCATAAAATTGGGCTATCCATTTGCTGTTGGATCTGTTGGATTGTTTCATAAGATGATAGGGGCGTCATAGACCGATGTGGGAGGGGCATATCCTAAAATGGAATTCTCTCATGGTACCTTGGCGTTCACGAATATGATGGGTGAACACTCACTGGACAGAAAGGTTTAACCTAAAATGGCAATGAACCTTGTCTGACAGAAGCTAAAGGAAAAGCTCATAAGATGAGTGGATATGATCCTTCACAGAAAGGTGGTGGGGTTATGCAGCTGAAACAGTTGGCTCCATACAGACTATGTGATTTCCCACATTTCTAGAGACATAATTCGTAGTCACCGTCACTGAGATAGGAGGGAAATCTCGGAGATGAATAAATGGAAATGAAACATAGATTAAAAGCCATATCTAGGTAGATAATATGAATCAAATAAGGTTGTGGACTAATATTTGCTTTGCCCTTTATCAGAAATGGCAAACGGACATTTTGCTAAACTGTTGGACGACAACAGGCTTAAGGGCCCAAATTACGCTGATTGGTATCGTAACCTTATGCTGGTCCTAACGTCCGAGAAATTGGACAAGGTAGCTAAGAACCCTGCCCCGGAATGTCCGGGTGATAGGGCTTCTGAGGTCCATATGAGGGATTATCAAGAATGGAAAGAGAAAAATTGCCTTGCCCGGTGCTACATCATAGCCTCCTTAGAACCAGCAAGTTCATGACCATTGTTTTAAGATGATGGGATACATCAATGAACTTGAGGCTCTTGGATCCGGGCTTGATCATGTCACCAAGGTTGATGCCATCCTAAATTCTTTGCCTCCTTCCTTCAATCAGTTCATCATGAACTACAACATGAATAAGCTAAATGTTAGCATCCAGGAACTCAACAATATGCTGCAGAGGGTCGAGGAACTGATAAAGAAGGATGAGCCCATTGCCATGCTTGTTGAATCTGGCAAATCGGGCAAGAAGAAGAGGAAGGCAAAGAAGAAGCCTCAGAAGAGAGTTAGCAAGACCAAAAGGCAGAGGAAGGACAATGCATTAGATGCTTGTCACTTCTGCAAGCAGGTCATCCACTGGAAGAGGAACTGTCATCAATACCTGGAGGCCAAGAAACAAGGTAATTTCGAATCTTTTGTCATAGAAACCAATTTGTTGGTAACTTGTGCTTCCTGGTGTATTGACTCTGGGGCTTCAAGTCATGCATGTAACTCACTGAGGGGTTCAAGACAAGCAGAAGATTGAGTGACGGAGAGGTGACTATTTACTTGGGGACTTCTACAAGTGTTGCAGTTGCAGCCATAGGGACTGTAGAATTGTATTTCAGATAATGATTAATTACATTAAAAGGTTGTCTTTATGTACCCACTTTGAGAAGAAATTTGATTTCTGTTTCAAAACTGTGTGCGGATGGATATTCTGTTCTCTTTAGTAATATGATTACTATCAAAAGAAATAACAAATTCATCGCATACAAAGAACTTGATAAATGTCTCTATGTTCTCCATCCTTCTCTGGAAACAAACATAACTAAAACTTCATCGGATAATAACCCCAAGAAAAGAACCCGTGATACAGTGAATCTCATGTGCCTGTGGCATTACCAACTTGGTCATATTAACATAGATTGTATCACAATGTTGGTAAAGGATAGTCCTTTGGATTTTCTAACTATAAAAGATCTTCCAACCTGTGAACCTTGCCTTCAGGGTAAGATGACGAAACGACCATTTAACGGTAAGCTTGAAAGATCGACAAGCACACTTAACCTTATACATACTGATGTATGTGGTCCCATGAATGTTAGGACACGTAACCAGCATGTTTACTTCATAACATTTACCGATGATTACTCACGGTATGGTTACGTGTACGTAATGAGACATAAGTCTGAATATTTTGAAAAGTTCAAAGAATTCAGACAAGAGGTCGAGAAACAGTTAGGGAGAAATTAAGACCCTTCGATCAGATCGAGGTGGCGAGTATCTCTCTGACGAATTCAGGGACTACTTAAAGGTCAATGGGATAGTATCACAACTAGCTCCTCCTGCTACACCACAGCTAAATGGTGTGTCAGAGAGGAGGAACCGGACTTTATTGGATATGGTCCGATCACTTCTCGTACACTCAGAATTACCCGCATCCTTTTGGGATTACGCATTAGAAACTGCGATATACGTGCTGAACCGGATTCCAACCAAATCAGTTCCGAAGACTCCCTATGAGCTTTGGACCGGTAAAAAACCGTGTAAAACACTTGAAGATTTGGGGTTGTCCGACACATGTTAAAAGTATTTGGGAGCCGAATCCTAGCAGTGTGTTCACTTGTAAAAGTACTTGGGAGGTGATCAGTGACTGGCACACCAAGGTATCATGGAGTAAGAAGGTTTGGGGTAAACACATTCCCACCAAAATTTCTTTTCATGGCTGGAAAGTTCTAGTTGGGAAACTGTTGACAGTTGACAATCTAAAGGACCTCGGGATCCCCCTAGCATCGGCTTGTAACTGTTGTAAAGAGAGGAAAACAGAGACAGTTGATCACATCCTTAGCTATGGTGTTCTTGCGACTAAAGTCTGGAAGCATTTCAGTAGACAACTTGATGTTTCTTATATTCACTTTCAGACGATTCGGAATCGACTTTTGTTCTGTTTTACTCATGCTGAAGGGCCCAAATTGCAAGTCAAGGAAATTATCAATACTTGTGCCTTACTTATTACTTGGGAAGTTAGAGAGATGTGGGACTGAAAGGGATGGGCATGGAGGAATATTATCATGCAGCCATGGACTGGGAAACAACACCTTGGCTAGATCTATATAGTTCTAGTATATGGAGAGGCATTATGGCAGAGATTTGTTCCTTAGAGGCATAAGTCTTTAAGGTTGGTAATGCTAAAAGGGTGCTATCCTAGAAAGATACTTGGTGTGGTACAAGACCTTTGATGGGCACTTTCTTGGTGCTGTATCAGATTACTCTCAAAAAGGAGGCATTGGTTCGGGATTGATGAAATTTTAACATAAAAAATCAAGCAAAATTGGGTGTTAGAGAGTGATAAGAAAATATTACTCTTTCAATATGGCCACCATGACTAGAAGGACAATGAATCAAATCGTTTGGCTGAAATCATCTGATAGTACTTGGCTAAAATCCCATGACAAGGTTCCCATGGAATTTGTTAACCACTTTATAAGCTTGCATCTAAATATGGTTAATTCTCTTTTTGACCTGGTGATAACAAATGAAGCTTTCTGAGGGCAGCCTCCACCCCTCCCAAGATCCAAGATAGCTGAGACCAACATTGGGTAGTAGCCTTTTTGATAACAAATGGAGAAATGAAAATCTCCTCCATATCCTTTTTTTTATGAATGAATATAAATCTCCTCCATATTCTTGATATGACAGAAGTTTTTGATGTTGTGAAAAGTCTAGGTAGAAGACCACCAATTGCAATTTGTTATCTCCAATAGGTGATAAAATGAGAGAGAGAAACTAAAATGGTTTTGGCACATGCATAGAAGACCACCAATTGCACTAGTTAGAAGAAGTGATTTGTTACACATTGAAGGGGCTAGAAGGGCTGGGGGTAGACCCAAAAGAACATGGGCAGATGTAGTAAAAAATGATTTAAGCACTAATAATTTAACAGTGGATATGGCGTTGAATAGAATGGATTGGAAAAACAGGATTCATGTATCCGACCACATATAGTTGGGATAAGGCATGAATGGTGATGATATACCTTTCCAATATTATAGAAATTTCAGAATTAGAACACTAAGAAGTTGCTCAAGAAAATGTGAACTTCAAATAAGTATTGAGGTATATGAATTTTATGCATTTACCTCCCAAAAGGGTCATGTCCTTTCCATCCTTTGATTGTAAACCACTATTTTGCCAGCCAACACACCATGCATCTTCCTATAAAGATGCAAAAACAAAAGAACTAAATGAACTACAAAAAAACATATATCAAGATTACAAATAAATTAAGCCAATATTGAGGAAGATCACAAAGAATATCATATTTATTGCATTATTTATGATTTAATTGAATAAAATTTTCCTTTGCTGATAAAAAAATCATGTTTTGCATTGTTATGAATAACTCTTAAACCTCGATGTGTGGAACTCAAGTATGAACAACTAAAACACAAATGTCTCTATGAAGAGGATTGAAAAAAAATACAACTCATTCAATCTTGGGAAATAGTGTCAAAATCAAATTGAATCTTAAAATCCTAATGAGTTAGATTGGATCATAAATTATAAGATTCAATTCAAAATATTAAAGATATTGCCTTTGGAAATTGCAGAAAAAATCATAGGAAACTTTAAAAATGGAATAATCAATCTAATAAGTTGTATATTTAACTAAAAATGAAGTAATGAACATTTCCAATTCACATACCCATTCTGAGTTAGTAAATTAAAGTAATCTTGGTTTCTCATTCATAATAGTTAACAATAATAAATTCTTAACTATAGTCTAGTGTAGATTAAGAAAGTAGAGATAATACTTCAAGGAGACAAGAAGACCGTTTGGGAGAGAATCTTAATGGGCCTTGTGGCGCCGACTCTTAATTCATTAAGGTAAAATAAATAGAGATAAAAGGGCATAAATGCCCCTCCCTGCATCAAGGTTTAAAATATCAACATGCACAATACAAAAACAATTGCAAATCGTTCATGTTGAATGGTTTATACTCCCTTTTCTTAACATTTTCAGTTTGATATTTACAGATAGACTTATTAGAATTTTGAGTTTTAGTGTCCTTCGATACCAGTACGATACACATGATACAATGCGCTATATATTGATACTTTGAACCATTCTCAAGTCCCAACTTGTTACATAACTCATTATGATGCAATGTGTTCACACTTTTTGTAAACATCAGCTAGTTGCTCCTTGAAACTTACATAAAAAGTACAAATTTCACCCTTTCCAAGTTTCTCCCTAATGAAGTTCTTGTCAACTTTGATATGCTTAGTTTGAGATCAAGCTGGACTTTGTTGGCAATTATGTAAATAGCAACCTTATTATCACGACAAAGTGACATAGACATGTTCTCTGCCTCAGTATTAGATCTAGAAATAAACGATTTCTTGCTTCTTGCTCCTCCAATTTTAGACTGGAAGGTAAAGAGAAAATATGCTGATTGAAGATGCCTCTCAATTAATTAAAACAATCCCCAAAAGCTTGATTTGACATATTTAAAAAGGTGGCTCAACAAGTGGGTTTTAAGTAGTGTTAGGTTGATCAAACATTGTTTTTTAAGAGATATCATGACTATATTGCAGCCTTGATAGTCTACATGGATGGTATTGCTATGATAGACAATTGGAACCAAGATTGTTAGATTGAAGTTTTGGCCTCACAGTTTGAAGTCAAAGAATTGGATACTATTAAATACTTTGCATTGAAGTGGCCAGATCACACAAGGGAATCTTTATCTCATAGAGGACATATGTAGTGCACCTTCTCAAGGATACAAGAAAGTTAGGATCCAAACAATAAACTTAGGGAAGACAAATGATGGTTTAATACAGTTCCAATGGTTGGTTAGACTTGGGAGGTTGTTGCACTTATCCATGATGTGACCTAACATTGCATGTGTAGTAGGAGCGTGTAGTTAACACATGCATTCACCTAAAGCCTCAAACCTTCCAGCAGTAGAATGGGTATTGACTATTATGATACTTTACAAAGTGTCCTGGAAAGTGACTTCTCTTTGCTAAACATGGTCATGTTGGAATAGAGGCATTACTGATGTAGATAGGGTTGGATCAGTTGATAATAGAGGTCTAGTACTAGTTATTACATTTTAGGTGGTAATTTGGACAATTGCAAACCAAGAGTAAGAAAAATAGGGTTTATAAGAGAGAAGAAGAAGAGATGAGTCGAGAGGTGTGTGATAGTTACTGTTCACACCCTTAAAATATCTTTATATTTTGAAAGGAGAAAATTACAAGGAATTCCCTACTTGGGCACCCAAATACAAAAAGAGTACAAGGGAAGAGAAAAAATCCAAAAACACCCTTGTCTAAGCATTCTCAACACTCCCCCTCAAGCTGAGCATATATGTCAATCATGCCTAGCTTGTCAAGGTTCTTAGCAAACTTTAGATGGTGAACACCTTTAGTGAGACAATCAGCTAATTGGTCTTCCAACCTTACAAAAGGAAGGCAAATCTCTCCGCTAGCAACTTTTTCTAATAAAGTGTCTATCCACCTCAATATGCTTTGTACGATCATGTTGGACAGGATTGTGGGCAATATTTATGGCTGCTTGATTGTCACAATATAATCTCATTGGGACATCTGTTTGGATGCCCATCTCAGTCAATAAAATCTTCAACCAGAGTAGTTCAGACACTATTAGCAATTGCCCTGTACTCTACCTCAGCACTAGAACGAGCAACAACAGATTAATTCTTACTTCACCATAAAACCACATTGCCTCTAACTAAGGCACAATAACCAGATGAAGATCTTCTATCATCAATAAACCCTGCCCAATCAGCATTTGTGTAAGCCTCAATCTTTAGATGACCGTGATTGGAATGCAACATTACCAGGGCATCCTTTCAGATAGGCTAAAATTTTGTTAATTGCCTGCGCATGAGATGTCTTGGGTTTATGCATATATTGGCTAACCACTCCAATAGAATAGGATATGTCAGGTTTAGTCAGGATATCTCAGAAGGTGGCCCACCAATCTCTGATACATCCCCCTATCTTGAAGAACTTATTCAGTGGAACTCAACTTGTGGTTATGATCAATTGGAGTTTCTATAGGCTTACACCCTAATTTCCCGACTTCATGAAGCAAATTAAGTACATACTTCCTTTGTGACAAAAAAATTCCCTCACTGGATCTTGCAACTTCAATGCCAAGAAAGCATCAGAGATCACCAAGGTCCTTAATTTCAAATTTGAAAGCAATGAATGACTTTAAACTGAGAGATACCTGTGATATCATCACCTGTCACAACAATGTCATCAACATATACTATCAACATTGTTACTCTACCATCAATTCTTCTAATGAATTAAGGTATGGTCAAATTGAGATTAAGCAAACCCAATCTTTAAGATAGTATTTTTGAACCTGTTAAACCAAGTTCTTAGGGACTGTTTGAGCCCATACAAGGACTTCCTCAAGCGGTAGACTTTTCCATCACTATTAGGAAAGCTCACCCCAGGTGGTAAAAGCCTATATACACTTCCTCTTGTAAATCCCCATTAAGGAAGGCATTCTTTATATCCATTTGATATAAAGGCCAAGAGTAATGGGCAGCAAGAGACATGACCACACAAATAGAGTTCATTTTAGCAATTGGAGCAAAGGTTTCTAGATAATCAATGCCATAAGTTTGAGTGTATCCTTTTGCTACAAGCCGAGCTTTGTACCTCTCAATTGAGCCATTTGCCTTGTGCTTAACAGTGTAAACCCACTTACACCTAGTGTTTTAAAAGCGCAAAGTGCAAAAAAGGCGCAAGGGCCATTTTGCGCCTGAGAAGCAAGGCAAGGCACACGCCTTTTTGAGGCAAGGCGCACAATTTAAAAAGAAAAAGCTAAAAATTCAAAAAAAATGCAAAAAAATTCAAATAAAATAAAATAAAATAAAAAAACATAATATTAATAAAAATATAAACTTAAGTTTTAAAATAAATATTTTAAAAAACCTATTATCTAAAATTAAAATACATAAATATAATATGTAAAGCATATTCAAATGAGAATTTAAAAATGAAATCAAACATTAAAAACATTTTCAAGCATATAAAACCCACAATCTCTTTTTTTTCTCAATTGCATCAAGTAGCTAATGTGACATATTACATTCCTAATTCTACGAGCCGCCTTTTTGCCATACCCCTATAGGACAAATATTTCTTGAACATAATATATTATGTAGTTTTAATGAATAAAGTCTACGGGACAACTTTGCAACATATTACTTGGTTTCATTTGATGGTTTGGAACAAGATAATAATTTAGAAGAGTGCATGTCAGCTTCTTTTATCATCTCACAAAATATCATTATAAATTTCTGCATATTTCATAAAGTTTCATCCATCTCTAAATTTTTACTTATTTTCGTATTATACTTCCAACATTCCTTATATTTCAATGACTGACATTTCCACCAATATTCAACATTTTAAACCTTACATGTGGGAACTTGCCCAAAGATACATGTATATGCATATATGTAAATTCAATCTTCTCTAATAATTCTCTTTCTCAAAAAGTTTGTTTTTCTATCTAGCATAGAAACTATTTCTGCTACCATATTTGTCTGGTTTTCTTCTAATTTCTTATTGCTGAAATATTAATTCAGAAACTTCATTATACAGCCTAGCCAGCTAGATTTCATCCTTCATCTTAATTCCCATAGATATTTCCTATAAATATCACAATAAATCTACATGAAGTTTCTGATAATTTTGACGTACTTCTTATGTTAAACCTTAGTATATTTTGATCATCAACAATACAATCAAATAGTTTACCCTCATCAAAAAATATGTATTCAAGTGTCCTTGTGAGTTGTATATTGATTTACCATATTTTTCAGTTTATATATTGGTCTTCCATCATATTCCTGCTTACAAGAGGAAATTGATGAGTGTTTGACTCTATTGCAAATCTTTGAGATGCAATATGCTGTGCTTGGATTAAAGAATAATGAACATGAGTGGATGTAGGATTCCAATGAATGTTGTGCTTGTGCACTAACTCATTCTATGAATGTTATGAGGAGTCACCTTATTTTGGAAGGTGACTAAAGGCATTTCCCTATACCCTTCAGGATTAGGAAGCATTTAGGCTTTTCTCATCTCACCTAGGGTGTAGCCTTTTATGTGGTTAGTTGGTTGGGATGTAATTCTCATCTCCCAGAATGTATGTCTCTATTTTTCTTCCTCATTGAAGCATAAGGGTGTATTGCATGGAAAATAATATGAGGGTACCAGCTGGCTCAGTTGGAAAGGTCTCTATCTGGTTGTAGCAGAGACTAGGGATCAAATCCCACCTTCACCAGCGTTAAGGGGGTTATGGGTTTGGGTAATGGGCTACTCCCATAGCCCCATGAAGAAAAAAGAAACATGGAAATTAATACACCTAACAAATATACAACAGAACAAATAAAACACACCAAAAAGCATTATAACCAAGTTTACTTACACGGATTTGGAACAGATAGTCATGAGGGTAAACCACCAGTGGAAGTGAGTTTTCAAAACGAAGAGTAACAACTGGAAATCCATCATCCACACTGCAGTAAACAAGAGAAAAATGAAATTTCAATAGGACAGGTGTAATCTTCAATGATCCATTAAAAAGCAAAGAAAGTCCACTGAAATCATTGCAACAAATTATCCAATGCAATAATTAAACATTCAGGACTATAATGTGGATAAGAAAAGAGAAATCACATATACAAGTTAATATAGACTGCAAATGTGCGATGAAAAGAATGATATAGAACATTCAGTTTACAAACTTTATTTTGGAAAATATAGAAAATGCTAAATAGCCCAAAATAGAAGTTGCAGTCTTTGTTTTACAGAGAAAGAGTACAACCTTGACCATTACGTGTGCCCCTTTTTTTGTGACTACATACCAACACTCCAATGATTGGAAGCAAACTTAAGATAACTCATCATCATCATCTCAATTCTTTTGCTATTTGCCTTAATTTATATTAATATACCATCAACCAATTATGTGCCTTCAAAGTGCTTAAAGCAACTTGCATCATCATCATCAATTCATCATCCAAGCCTTATCCCGACTATATGGGGTCAGCTACATGAATTTTGTTTCATAAATCCATTCTATTTAAAGCCATATTCACTGTTAAATTATTAGTGCTTAAATCATTTCTTACTACTTCTACCCATGCCCTTTTTGATGGTCATATGCACGTGGTTGTTGTTGGTGGTTGAACGTGCATATGACCAAGAATGGTCATAGGATCAAGAATAGTCACGTGCATAGAAGACTACCAACGTGGTTAAATCATTTCATACTACTAACGCTTTGTTGGGCGCGTTAATGCGTTGGTTGCGAGATCCGCGCGGGGGTTACGATCTACCCGAGTAACTCTGAGGCGTGCGATGTGGTAGGCCATTCTAACGATCGAGATATCAGTGTTCTGGGGATCTCGGCTTGGTAGCGTACTACCGGAAATGGTTAGCGGACTCTTCCTCGCAGTTCGCCTTGGATTCCTACAGCTCGGCCAATTCCTAGGACAGGTCGTCGTAATCTTACGGGGTCTACTAGTTTGGCCTTGCCGAGGTGGTCAGCCTGGGCGAGGTGCTCCAAGCTAACTTGCCGAGTTGGTTTGCTTACTCAGCACCGAGGTGTCATCCGAAGGCCACGTGTCACTATATGATTGGGAGGACCAAATTGCCCCTCATCAGAAGTGTTTATCAACTTCAATGTGTTTTGTCCTATCATGCTTAACTAGATTATGGGCAATATTGATTGCAACTTGGTTGTCACAATATAACATCATTTGCTCTTCCATATCTATCCCAATCTCACTCAACAAAGATCTAACCAAAAGTAATTCTGAGACACCATGAGCCATAGATCTATATTCAACTTCTACACTTAACCTTGCCACCATTGACTATTTTTTACTTTTCCACAACCATATTTCCCAACACAAAGGTACACACCCCTGATGTAGATTTCCTATCATCTAGGCAACCTGCCTAGTCTGCATCTGTATATGACTCCAGTTTCAAATTCCCATGATTTGTGAATAAACTTCCTCTGCTAGGATTTTTCTTTAGGCATGCAAGTATACTATCAATGGCTTCCCAATGCTGAACCCAAGGAGCATGCATATACCGACTCACAACATTCAGTGCATAGGAAATGTCTGGGCATATACCGACTTTGAGAATTAATCTTGTTGTTTAGATCAATAGCAATATCAGTTGGTTTAACTCCTAGCTTCCCATTTTCCTACAATACCTCCAATACATAATTCCTCTGAGACATGAATATCCCATGCTTGGATCTTGCAACCTCAATCCCCATAAAATATTTTAGTTCACCTAGATCCTTAATCTTAAATTCTTGCTTAGTGATATCTTGAGTGCATCATCTCCCTCATATCATTCCCTGTAACAACTATATCATCGACATACACAATCAGTATTATCACAAGTGATTCTTTCCTCTTCACAAAGAAGTGTGATCTGACTGGGTCTGTGTGTATCCAAACGGATCAATGGCCCCTAAACCAATCAAACCATGCCCTAGGTGACGGTTCCAAACCATATAAAAACTTCCTCAGCCTGCAAGCTTTTCCCTCACCAACATTCTCATAGAAACCAGCTGGAATGTCCATATATACCTCCTCCTGCAAATCACCATTAAGGAATACATTTTTAACATCAAGCTAGAAGATAGGCCATGAGTAAATAGTTGCTAGAGACAAGAAGATCCAAACTGAGCTCATCTTAGCTACCGGTGCAAAGGTCTCCATATAATCTATACCATAGGTCTGTGTATACCCTTTTGCAACCAACATTGCCTTTTCCTCTCTATGCTGGCATTGACCCTATACTTCACAATGAACAACCCATCTACGCCCAACTATTTCCTTTTATGCAGGAACATCAACCATCTCCACTCAGGCTTGGAGAGAACCTCCACTCGGGCTTGGAGAGAGCCCGAGTTTCTTCTATCATGGTTGTTCTCCACTCAGGCTTGAAGAGAGCCTCCACTCGGGCTTGGAGAGAGCCTCACTAACATTCTTGGATATAGACATAGAATCTAATGAAGAAAGGAAAGCACGGTAGGAAGGTGATAGGGCATTGTAGGAGAGATGGTGTGAAATGCAATGGGTTGTACGCTTTTTCTTTCCCTTGTAAAGTGTGGGAAGATCAAGATCAGTTGCAACATCAGTGTTAGGTACAAAAACATCATCAATTGAATTAGAGGCAATAACAGGCTCAAGGGAAATACCTAGAACTATGTCAACAAAACATGGAACCTTGGATGAACCAACGGAGAGTGGTGTAGGTTCTTCTACTGGAGCATATGTGGAGTCAACCCTCTTGCACTAGCACCGAAAGAATTGTGAGGCAGGTCATAGTGGATCAGGCAGTGGGACTAGAGGAGCAACATGTGGAACTGATAGTGGAGCTAATGGACCAGATGAAGGGACATGAAGAGGAACAAGTTGTGAGTTATCCCCAAAACCCTCCCCCTGAGGAGAACCACCAGAGAAAAATAATATAGACTCAAAAAAGGTAACATCTATAGTGACAAACCTACTCCTCGACACTAGATCATAACAACAATACCCCTTCTGGTTTTGAGCATACCCAAGAAAAACACATTTCTTAGCCTTAGGATCCAATTTCCTATGATGAAGACCAAGAATGCAAACAAAACAAATACACCCTGAAACTCTCAAAGGTTTATTAAATATCTCCCCATTTGGAAATAAAAGATTGAATGGCACCTTAAACCTCAGGATATGTGAAGGTACAAGGTTGATCAAGTACACAACTGTGAGAATTGCATATCCCCAAAACCGAACAAAAACTGAAGAACCCACCATAAGACTTTTGCCACCTCCACAATGTGTCTATTTTTCCTCTTTGCTACCCCATTCTATTGTGGTGTATAAGCACAACTACTCTAATGAATCACCCCATGCTCCAAAAAATATGTGGCCAAATCCTTCTCAAAATATTCTCTAGCGTTGTTTGATTTGAAAATCTTAGTCCTCACTCCAAATTATGTAAGAACCATCTGGTAGAATTGTCGCACCAAAATAGGGACCTCATCATGTGATCTCATCAAATATATCCAAGAATACTAAGTGAAATCATCCACAAACAAAAGAAAATACCGATGACCACCCATTAAAGAAATATGATAAGGTCCCCATACAACAGTGTAAACAATATCAAAAAGCAAAACTCCTTTTATTACTTGGTTTAAAAGAATGTCTACAATGCTTTCCCAACTGGCAATTTTCACACTCCTGACTAGATAACTCAACAAACTTAAACAATTTTGGAAATAAACATCTTAATGAACTGAAAGAAAGATGACCTAATTGTTAGAAAACGTGGGGTTACTGGTGCAGATCTATATTTGGTAGTTGTGTAAAAATAGAATTGTATATATTCCTAGGATTGTGGAAGGATTGATTTAGAAAGTTTTTCTTTCTATTTCTTTCTTTCTATTCTTGTACTTTCTATTTTCTTTTCTTTCTATTTTTTTCTTCTTTCTATTTATTGCAGCAGCTTAC